CCCGCCCCCGGCCACGCCCACCGCCCCGCCCACACCCGGCGCGCGCACCGCCGCCAGCGCGCCCGCTTCCCACGAGCTCGTCTGGATCAACGTCCTGATAACATTGTTGTTCATACAGCATTGTACTACAAATATCTCTGCATGCCCTTCAATTGGTAATTTGAACATTTTAATTCGTATTTTGATCAGCTTCATAAACTCGCGACCCTATACGAAGGACTTGATTCGGTACAAGGTGCAAATATGTTTGAATTCTACGCTCAAGTAAATCTCAAAATCCCTGCTTCGCCTCCTCTACCTTTTTCTCTGCCGATAACTTGATTCTAAGTTATCGGCATTGTTCTGAGTTGTCATAGGAAAGTTTTTGAGGAGTAATTGTCCCTCACCATTTGTAATTTAGCTGTATGTAGGTAAGTAAAAATGTTTTGGTAGGAGGAGATGTATGTGGTTTGGCTGGTGTTACCTGTGCTGCGCGCTGTACTGGCGCACCTTCTCGCCCTTGAGCTCATTGAGCTGGTCGAGCAGGACGCGCTTGATGCGCTCCACCCAGGTGCGCTTCACGTCGGGCGCGGGCGCGGTCAGCGTGTGCACCTCCGCGCGCCCCTGACGCCACACCTCGAACTTGCGCGGGTCTCCCTTCACTGACTCCGTCAGACCTATCTGTGCCATCTGCACACCGTCAAACTCGTTTTTATAAAATCATATTATAAATAGGAATGTTTGGATGAATGGAAGGATGTTAAAATTAATCTTCAAAACAGCTGCATGGATCTGGATAAAATCGGTATATACGTGGAACAAGAACACATAGGTTACAATTTTTTCTTATTCCGCGCGGACAGAGTAGCGGGCGACTTCTATTCATAGTATAATTTTAAGTCCTCGCGTTGCAGACCCGATTTAAAAAAAATATCAAGTCCTATTCTAGTCAAATGACGATCTATGAAACGAGAAACTGTGCATGAACATGACATCAAAAGGAATGTAAGTAAAAATTAACCTGTAAATCGTGTTTAAAGTGATAGGTGGCCTTGTTGTGACTGTTCTTGGCGGCAGGCTTGCAGAAGAGCATGGCCTTCTCGTAGAGAAAGATGTGGCGGCGACGCGGACGCAGGCGCAGCCGCAGGTCGCGCTTGTTCTCCGACACCACCAGGAACGAGCCCTGCAGCAGCAGCTCGCCTTGCTGGCTCAGATCCACCTGCAGATAACTTGCTATGAGATATTTGTTTAAAAATACTAATAATAAATGTGTCTGAGCAATACTAACCGGTACACCGGTGATGGCAATCTGGTGCATGGAGTCATTGACACATTTCAACACGACCAGCATGCAGTCTAAGGCTTGTTGTAGACCAGCACTCATTGACCCGCATTCACTGTACCTTAATAGGTCCTGGAAAACGAAATGATCGAAAGTTAAGCTAGTTAATAAGCTTAAATATCTTCTATAACTTGTGGTTTCCACTTCCTACTTCCAACTGTTATTCGATGCATATGGCAAGACACGTTACACTCATGCGAGGATTTTTGAACAAAATTGCTGTTTACCTTAAGTAACAACTGATACTTGGTGATCCTCTGCACAGGTTTGAGCAGGTAGGCAGCCAGCGGTAGCTTGTGACCTAGCCGCTGCTGACAGGCCTGCAGAAAAAGGTGGGTGTCGACCAGCGCCTCGCGCAGCCGCTCCGAGCGCGGAATGTTCTGGCAATAGTAGCTGTACAGCCTGAAGAATGTCTCCCTCTGCAAAAACATCACATCTAGTTAGTTAAAAAGATAATAGTTGTAGTCGGGGTATCACGGGACTACCTCCAGTCGCATTTGGGAATGACCACCGAGAAGGTTTATTATGAAAATTCTCACATAAATGTGTTTTGCCTCAAGGTACAAAGATGAAGTTCAGAGTTGAATTTTTTAGATCTATACCAATCAGTCTTATTCCACAATCCTTTCTTGGAAAACGGTAGCCGGTATAATAATGTGTGAATTTTTACACGTAGTGTCATTAAATCCATGATTGGCAATAATTGCAGACATTGACTTTCATAATCTTTTTCACGCTACAACAATGAAGAATTTGTATTGCTAATCTTTATACTTATGTCCATATGAATATGCATTTCAAAGAAAGTTACACTACTCTTTGCTATAAAAAATAAATCAGTAGATAGAACATGAGATTTCCTCACCTTTTCGACAAAGCACAGCGCAACTAATTCCGTAGCAGATATTGATTTTTCCAAATCTTTAAGGAAGATGTCCTGGTGGAATGTGAACAGCTCGTGAAGGTTGCCGAAGAGTACGTTAGCCTGTCCAGCTAGTGCTGCAGGTATGACGTGTTGGTTCTCCGGCTTTTCTATTTCTTCTTTATAGCCCTGCAATTAGAATTACATTAATATCGTAATATTCTCCTATAGCCATCAAGCTAGGGGGAACGAGACGACTTAACGACCCCCATAAAAAAATTGACATAGATTAGATTTTTTGAATGATGCACTAGTATTTAGTTTATTTTTTTTTCATTTATCAGAAAAGGTGAATCTTATTTTATTAGGATAGTAAAGGATATATGAGCGCGATTCAAAACGATACAAGATATCCTATAAAAGTTTACCGAGCTAAGAGACGTGCACTGGCTAATTGTGTCACACCACTCTTGAAGACGTCTGTCGTAATCAGCATAAATACTTTCTAAGCATTCACATTCGTAAGATGTATCAATGTTATTCATAAGCTTCCTTTTAAAATTTTTAAAAGATTTTGTCCAATTACTGAAAGTACTTGTTCTTCTAATCTTTTGGCTTCTTCTACGATCGTGGCTTACATATCTTTGGCAGTTTCCAATAGTATATGGATATTTGTAATGTGAATCGTTCATAGCTTTTAAACTTCTTTTGCGTTTACGCGTCATTGTTGAATTGATGCTTCGAAAGTTATTATCGGTGTTGATTCTGCGACAAATTGTTGATCCTTTTTTATGTGATACAGTTGTATAATGATCCTTAATTGTATGATTCCATTCTTTCATAATCCTTTTGTAATCATTTAGAATTTTTAATAGAATATCTTCAGCTTCCTTGCTGTTGCACATTGTTTTTCTTAGTTCGGTACAGCTTGAAGATTTTAATTGAGAGTCTTTGGATATACTTGATTCTGTAGAGGATTCAGGTATTGCTAAAAGAACGTCAGAGTCTGGACATCCGTAAATAGGATTTTTAACGACTTCTGGAATATCAATAATAGTGGGTGCAGTTGTTAAAGATTCCACCGTGACCTCGGAGAGAGTTATTATATCCGAGTCTGGCAAATATGTAATTTTGTCTTCACTCTTTTGTAAGAAATCGTAGCCGGGCAATGTTTTCCCGTAGTAGAAATTTCCAAAAAATGGTTCCGCGTTTACCGGTTTAATATTTTTTGGTTTGCACTTTATCCTAGTATTTTTGTTAACGTCGCTTGCAGATTTTTTACACTTTTTGTTTTTTGCACGATTCTCGTTTTCGAAAAGAGACATCTGGTTAGCGTAGTCACTGAAGAGCGTCGATGCCGATGCGGCTCTGGAGAGGCCGCGTTTATTTCGCGTCGAGGGGTTTTCATTTTTCTTGTAATACCATGAATACGAAGTGCCAACGCTGAGATTCGCGGAAGATTTATGTAGATCGTATTTTCCATATTTCATGGTTTTATTTATATAACGCGAGCGAGGGACCGTGCCGTGCGGTGGTCGGCGAATATGTAAAGTGCATAGCGTTCCGCTGATGGAGGCATTGCGCCGTCGCGTGCGACGCGGCCCCGGCACCAGATATTGCGGTGCTAGCCCGTTTTGTCATTATTCATCGCACCCGTAGTGTTTACGCGTGTGAAGCACGCACTACTTACAAACAACAGCACATATAGTTTTTAGAGCGCAAACTCTTTGGTGATATCCGATCATTGAAGTCGATCATGTGTAACGTAACGGTTGTTTTTATGGCCTGTGAAGATGGTTTTCTATGGGAAGATAAATATCTACGTTGGCATTAACAGGCATTGTAAAACTTACAATTATAATAATAGGGACCTAAAAAACCTATATTATTTTAATACCATATGGCAACAACAATTTAACAACAGTTTCCTTTTTGGGTTAATAAACGAAATTTTGAGACCTTAACGTACAAACAACTTTACTTCCAAGGTTATTATCTATAGTAGATACTTACAATTTGAACAAATAATTCATTAACAATTAAAATAAATTAAAAATATATACAGGATGGTGTTTTGTCATATTAAAAGTGAGAATTATCATGTTGACAAAATTAACGCAGCAGCAAGTTGAAGCAGCAAAGTCATATAATAACATACTAACTAGTATTTTACAGTGAGAGGAGGTCATACTTGACGTCAGTAAAGTTTACCAAAAAACTAAAATGTAAAGACACGGAAAAAGTCAGTAATAACTGGTTTGGTTAATCAGATGACTTACAGTCAGTATGGAGCCAAGTTCCTGAACATAGATCCGCTCTGTCTGCAGCAGCTCGGCCAGCACGTGCCCGCGCCGCGCTCGCCGCGCCTCCGCGTCTTCGCCGCCGGAGCTCTCTGACCCACCTGATGTTTCCATCTGTAACAATACAATTATATTTCTTAATATAATATTTTCATTCAAGTATCGGTACGAAAATGCTTCTAAATACAAACATATTCTTCAGCTTGTGTAGTCTTCACCGAGAGGTTCAGAGGATACCCAAAGATAAGCAGCGACTAGGCTAAATCACGTGGTATTTTAATTTGACTTAGTTTTTATAATAAAAAAGACGCTGGCCGTCCTTTCTGCACATCGAAACACAAATTGGTACATGGCGTGTTTCGAACCAGGACCTGTAGGTAACAAGTTAAGAACTTAACTTCTGCTTCACTCGACACCTCAGTGAGAATAATTACCATGTTGTCAAATTTTTTCGCCTGCTATATTTGAACCATATTGGTAAGTTGATTGCTGATAACTCAACAATTACAGATTTATTGTTCAAAAAGTTACTGTTACAATAATTGTATTTAATGTCAATTGATAAGATTTTCTTGTAGTCTACTTTCTTTCCAAACAAAGAATTGATAAGTTATTGCTATTTATGACATTTCAAAATAGTGTTATCACACTTTCATATCTGTATCTAATTTTGGAACGGCAAAAACAATGCCAATTGGGATTTAGTTTATTATAGGTACTGATTATGTCAATCACTAACAATCCATTTAAATCATTGAATAGAAAGTGAAAAGATTGGTTTTAGAACATTTTTACACGTCGTGCAACTAATAAGAATAGTAGATAGTTTTTTTTTATATCATAAGGTGGCAAACGAGCCAGCGACCACGTGAAATCGTTGAAATAGCGAAGTGACCGTTGCCCATAGACATACGCAATTGCATATGCGTTGCCTATCTTTAATCGACGGAGGAAAGGATGCACAGAGAGAAAATATTTTCCCTTTCCATGCATCCTCTCATCCGGAAAGTCCACTTGAACTTCCCATTCTTTCATTATAAGAAAAAGGGTGGGAAGGGAAAGAGGACTAAATTAGACCTCATCAGACGAAACGCGGAATTGCTTCCACTTCACGCCTGTCTTCTGTGTGGTCGTGGTATTTCACCGCGCGAGCGAAGATGTGCGAAGATGTTAAAGTGGGCTTTACCACAGTTAAAAGTTTCGTGATATTTATGTCTTCATTTTGGATTGTCTATTTCTTTGTGTACTTTTGGCGTTGCTATAAATTATAATTTATTACTCCGCTCGTAGTTGTGCCTCATGTGTTATGTGACCGTTATTTTTCCGTTAAAAGATACTGTTTTTATGGGCTACCAACACGCTAGGCTCTGTTAGGTTAATGAGATCAAACTATAAAACAGTTTTATGACTGACTTACTATTCTTTGATGATAAGTCATAAAGACCTTTGAGGTCTTCAAATTTCTTTAACCATATTTGTGCTTGATCAACAAGCATTTATTATTTATTTTGTAGTAATAACTATTACTATAATTATACCGCAATGTTCAATTTACAAATTATTTACTGATAGATAATTTCTTTTTAATTCTAAAACTTTACACACGGTTAGTCTGGTATAGTAGCCAGTCAGTATTTTCTATAAATGACGAACGTATTATTAATTTGAATAGAAAATTTATTAATATTATAATCAATTACGTTATAACACAATGTACGAAAGCTCTATTATCAACGCATGAATTGATAAGGCCGCTCTTTATAAATACGACAACAATCACTGAGTTTATTCACTCCAAACAAATATAGTTAAATACTCACAGCTTTATGTTGTTCTGTAAAATCTTTCACCATTTTGTATCCAGTTTTTAGCATAATGTTTATTGCATCCATTTCTACAAAAAAACTTTATTGCAAACGATGGTTTAACGTTATCATAAAATTGAACATTTTAACACTTTAACTGTTTGAATTATTTGATGAATTTGATTAATGAATGATAAGAAATCACTGTACATGTTGTGCTCCGTCAAAAACGAGCAAGAATAAGGAACTGACGGGCTGAGCTCGCTCGGGATGCGAAGGGGACGCGGGAATACGTTGACTAAGTAAAAAAAAGTGGTTGCCTCCACTACGGATCGGGTGTACATAATGCTCTACTTCGATCAGTGTAAAGATAAGCGTTGTAACTGAAGTCTATTTAAAGACATTAGGAATAAATTGCAAACTTGAACGAAATATTAAAATGAATCAGGGTCTATGTTACAATTTTGCATTATAAGTAAACACGTAATTTATGTAAAATGCAATATACTCATTTAATATTAATCGCATTATAATTTTATTTTTATTCTAATGGAAAATAAATAAATAAGACTGGTTACGAAGAAAACTGTTAAATGCTTATCAAATTTTGACAACATCGATGTGAAATTAATTGCGAATTTGGTAGTAGAGCAACATTCGTTTTGTATATTGCATCTGTAGTTAAGGGCAAATGTGTGTAACATAACTACAACCCTAGGCGTTATGTGTGTGTATTTACATGCGTCTGTAGTAGTAGAGCACACCTGCCGGCTTCGTAGTTAGACTAGCTTCATGTTTAAATTCAATGGCATTGATCTCGGCTGTCCAAGTTAAAGAAGGCCTTTATTCTCAAACATTTTTTGTGTATTTTCTTAGAAACATCTGTGCGCTCCATTGTTCCAAGTACCAGGCGGGCATGAACCGAAGCACGTGCTACGCCAGTGCGATGGTTCAACCTTTTTGTAACTTTAGGTTCATGAGAATAGAGGAAAATGTACATAAAGTTGTCAATTGATATTTGAAATAATACTTGGAAAGTAGTCATTCGTAATAAATATCAGCTAATTATAGTAAACCAGTATCATTGGAATTTACATGTGACAATATTATTAAACGGAGTAACAGAACAACATAAACGTCAAAAAATGTATAGCAACGTTAAGTTTATCCGATCAGACCGATTAAGTTCATTCACATTCCATGAAGCCATTCCTTTTTAGGATTAATCAAGATTATACCTTTGAAAGTCTAAAATAAAGAAGTATATATGTATGAAGTTCTGAACAATGACAAATAACGAAATATTACAGATTAATTTGACATACTGTAATTGAATAACATTATACTGAATTAATCCATGACCCTTGCAGACATTCCACTTGAAATGTTTAATCAAATTACCGCCTTACAGTTTGGCGATTCTTTGTATTAACGTAAGAGTACAGCAAAGTCTCTTGTTATCTCAATTAACAAGCAATCATTTTGGCAATGATTTGTATACGGTCATTCTTTGTTCTTAAGTCAAACGGATTTTATGGCAAGACGAAAAGCGGTGAAGATTTAAAATCACGGTGAAGAATTTTCATATAGCAGTTGGTCAACACAAAAAAGTTATATTTTATAAAAGAAATAACTCTTTTCATCAGATGGGTTGATTTGTAATCTTGTCATGACATTTTGTGACAGTTTCCATATGCAACTTTAAACATTACGTGATTAATTAACATAAAACAAAAACTTATTTGATCGCTCATAATGTTAGTAGGTTATGTCAAGTCATTACAAAAATCGAATACTCGG